ATCGCGGCTTGCGTTCCACAGGGGGACCGCAGCCACGATCAGGAAGTAGAATCGCCGATGCGTTCCAGCGTGGAACGCATCGGGGGCCGCCCTGCATCACCAGCACCTCCCCTTCCCATTCCATATAAAAGGCAGGAAGCCGGGTCAGTATGGCGTTCTATTATTCTTCTATGGACGCCATCTGACAGCCTGCTCCCTGCTTTTTGGACCGAGAACCCCAGAGCCTGGACCTTCCTATTTTGACCCTGCTAAACAGCAAGTATACCTTGTCTGTGACTGAAAACAGAGAGACTACTGCAGCTCTCGCCAGAGATCTGCAGTGTTTAAACTTGCTTGTGAAGATTTCCTATTCCTTGCAGTGGATTGGACTCTCACTCCCTCTAGGGGTGAAACATATGAACTGCGATCACCATATTCCTCATTTGAAATCCTAAGCAGTGTATGATAGGAATACTCTGCGAACTTAGAGTGCTGAAATTTCAACTCTGCTGACTTATGTTTTTTGCTATTTAACCGTCGTACCTTAAAATTGCATTATTTGAACTTTGAACACCCCTTGTTCACCGCGGCACATGATGGTAGGGTTCCAAACTCTCCGCTTATGATTTGAGAGTGACGCCTGGAACCCGACCCTGAAGCCGTACCCTCTGCCACAACCATACTTTCCTATAGCCTCCGCAGCTGTGATTCTTAGTATTGCCACGGCATTACACCAGCTTGGTACTGGTTAATAATTTAACAACTTAAATAGACCACCGCTGACTTTAAAGAGCAGCGTGCATAATTATATGTACATAATTAACATTATGCTCCAAATTCAGCGCACTCTAATATCACAGATGCTAGGTTTTAAATTTACAGAACCAAATCTGCAATGTTAGGGATGATTTTTGCATTTTCCCGAATGTGAACAGCACTCCTAATAATGATAGTGCCAGGTTTCTAAAGTGACTGTTATAGGTCTTGATTTGACCTAGAGCAGAAAACAATAACACTTCCAGAGAGAATAAAGCATTGAAATCATTTTAAAACAAAAATTATTCTTTCTGTTTTATTCTACAAATTTCCATACCATTTATGAGCTGTGATCATAGGATAGATATTTTAACTGTGCAAAAATACTGTTAGTAGCCCTAATGCTAAATGATGCATGTAGTCAGAATCATTTTATACAAAGACCTGACACATATACTAAGCTATGCAATATAAGACATTTCAGATTGTGCAGTTTGTATGTTTTAAAAAAATTAACTTGTCAATATTATTATTAAATAATACTATTATTTTTAATAATATTAAAAGTTACCATTTAGTAATAGATAGTGTGGTGATATGTAAGGAACCTGGTTATGTTTTTATTGTTTCTAGTGTACATGCTGGAAATTTTCCTTCACTTCCTGTCCTGATGAAGGTGTGTCACAGGGTCAGGAAGTGATGACCAATATCTCCAATATGGAAACAAACAGCAATAAAAAAAAAAACATTTTAAAACCTGACAATGCTATTAAAAGCTATTAAAATATTTTGGCGGAGGTTAGGGTTTAATCTTGAATAACAGGCTTAGATATCTACCTGCTGTTAAATATGTGCATCATAATATGTACAGTTGTATCCAGTTTTGGGGGGAAAAAATGAAAGGGGAAAACATAGTATAATTCTAATGCTTGGAGAAATTTTTGTAAATATCTTAAAATGTTTTTTAAAATATTCTAAAAAATGTGCTCTTCAAATATGGAAGTTTGCTGAAGTTACCATAATAAAAAGTCAGACCAAGGCAAAGTTAAAGGAATAAAATGTACTGGTATGCACTGCCACCCTGTGGATTAAATGAGAATGGCTGCTGAAGAGAATGTATGCACTGGCTTTAAAGCTCACAGGGCTCTATTTTAAAACACCATAAAAGAAGAGAGTCTATGCTGCCAATAAAAACCATGCTTTAGGTATAATTTGTCTACTGCATGATACAATTGCAGACAGTGACTACAAAAGCATCAGGGCAGCCAAAATTAGACAGAAGAAAATATCCTCGGTTGACAATATGTACTGTACTAAGAGTTCCTCTTACCACGGAACACAGCAATACTTATGGTCATCCTAAAATTCCTTTACCCAGCACGGAACTCTTAGGGGGCAACTGATCCCTATATTTTACTCTAAGGGATACATTACACTTAGATATGAGTTTGTAAGTGTAATTACAGTGGGGAGAAAGGGGGGGGGAGTTATGTTATCAGGGTGAAACCTACTTTCTAAAAATTGTATATAATACTGTATAGATTGTTCATTGCTACAGTTGCAAGACAACATTTGTGAACCTTTGGGAACTACTTGTGCAAGAATGGCTCCTAAAACGTGGTCGGATCATTATCTAATTCATGATAATAAATAAAACCAGCATTATTTAACAAACAGCATATTTTATATTTCTTTAACAAATGGTTAAGAAAATCAAGGTTTTTGATGGAAAAAAAAAGTATGTGAACCTCTAGAATAATGATATTTTGAAAAGAAGGCAATTAGACTTGGGATTTTTTAATAAATGAGATTAGAGTTGTTGTTTACGGGTTCCATGACCAACAAAGGCACAGTTACGTTACGAAAAGGATCTGCTTTTTTTTATAGCAAAGATAGGAAGGAAAAAGGGGAGCAATACCACATGTAAAAAACAAATGCTCAGTTGAATAGAAAATTTGCTCAATAACAGTAAGCAGCCATAAAGTGGATGCTCTCCTAGAAGTAGAAGATAGTAGAAAGTTTCCTCCCACACTCCAAAAGACAAGGTGGAAGGGTAATTGGCTCCTGTCTAAATTGGCCCTTGTATGTGAGATAGGGACATTAGATTATAAGCTCCTTGAGGTCAGGGACTGATGTGCACATGTAAAGAAATGCATGAATTGTTGGGGCTATATAAATACCTGTAATAAATAAAAAAATATTAAATTCCAACAGTGGCTGGCCATGCTGCCTTGGCAAAATTCAATTACTTGGTCAGCTTTTGTTGAAATAGCTGGGCCAAAAAATTTGGCTGCCCATCACTGGACACTATAATATGATTCCACATTGTAGCCTCCATTGCTACTCATTCAAAGGATGCAGTCTGTGGTGTGAAGCTTGCAGTGCTTTATGGCAAGCTCTGTGCTTAACACTGCAAAGAGAACTCCGTGACTAGAGGCAAGTCAGGTCACGTAACTGGGCTCTCTTTCTCTCTTTCTCCTGACCTCTTTATTTATTCCTTTGAAAAGTGCTCCACTTGCTTCAGGGTACCAAAGCAAGCAGACCAATGTGCTTTAAAAATGTGCCAGGTTTTTTTTGGTGTGTGTGTGGCCATTGTATGGCCATACCACTACTTTATAAATACAACAGCGTAGCACAGTGGCTTAATGGTTAGCACTTCTGCCTTTCAGCACTGGGGTTCTCTGGTTTAGGACTGTTTCCACCAGCCCGTGCGTTCATCGCACTGTCCCATGCCCGGAACAAAAGGTACTGCATACACAAAGTCTCCTTCTGTTCTGGGGCGGGAGGGGGAGGGGCAGTGCCATGCATGTCAATGGCACTGCAGAAACGCACCCCAGCCTGCAGTGCAATCGGGTGGTAATACAATGCCCTGCATTCCAGTGCGGTACAATCACAAAAAATCGTGCATGCTGGTGGAATCGAGCCAGGACACAATCTGCAAGGAGTTTGAATGTTCTTCGGTTTTCCTCCCACACTCCAAAGACCTGCTGGAAGGTTAATTTGCTCGTGTATATGTGTGTAATAGAGACCTTAGATTATTATAAGCTCCTTGAGGGCAGGACTGATGTGCATGTACAGTATGAAAAGCACTGCGTAAATTGCAAGGGTTTTATAAATACCAATAATAAATAAATACATAAAAACATCTATGTTTGGAGGAAAAGAGCACTACCAATATCTAACCCTTACCCCAGCTGTAAAGTATCATGCTTTTGGTAAGCAGTGCTACCTTATGGGTCATTCAGAGAGGAAGCAATGAATTGAAAATTGCATCAAGAAAGTTTACAGGAAAAATGTTGGTGTAGCACTATATCACCTGGTGCTGAAAGTGTAAGCCAAGGCACAATACAAAAATGCAGTATATCTCTGTAATATATCCATGTTTCCCCATGCAAATACAGAAAAATGCTTTTCTTATCTGCCAGCAATGCACTCGGCTCATAAATCCTGTTGTGGGCTGACACCGTGCAGCGTTTTTGTGGACTGAGTGGTGTCAGCCTTGCCCAGTGTGTTTTGCTAAACTACTCAACCACTACCACGCTCAGATCTCCCCAACATATCCATTTACAGGGTTTTTTTTGCCCTTATCAAACAGATATAACAAAATCTTTCCGATGGTAAATAGACTAAAATGAGCAAATCCAAGAAGTTCATTGTCAGGGTTTACGTACACTTTAACAGAATCTGGAAGTTTTAGCAAAGCAATGATCCAAAACACAAAGGTAAATCAATAACAGCATGGCTTTGCCATGAGAAATGTCATATTCTGGAATTGCGAAGTCCAAATCCAAACCTCAATTTAGTTCAGATGCTGTGGCATGACCTCAAGACAATTGTTCCGTCAAAGAATCTTAAAAATGTCATTTAAGTGAAATGTCTTGTAAGGGGCAATGGTCTAACATTCCTACTCACCATTCTGCAAAACTGATCTGCAGTTACACAAAAATGTTTGGCACCAAAAAAAAAGGTTGTATGACATTCTAAATTCTAGGGTTACATACTTTTTCTGGACTGACTGTTAAACAGTCTGTATTGACTTCAATAAAGACATGGAAGAGCTCAGTTACATTTGTATTATTAGGTAAGGTAGATTGTTTTAGTCTAATATTGTGTTTAGCTGACCATCAGTCCACATATTATCAGCCATTCATGCAGAAATCTAGGTAATTCCAAAGGGTTCCCAGACTTCTCCGGGCAAGTGTATATTCCCGCAAGTTATATATTTAGACAGCAAGTTATAAACTGTGAAAGAAAAAGTAAGTTACCTTCGGCTGGAGTGAAAACAGATATGTTGGCTCGGGGCCCAACACCTGCACTTGTTTCTCCACTGATGTATGCATCGTAGGTTGTGAAAGGCGTAAGGTTAGTAAAAGTAAACTTTAGATCTTTCGTACTGTTGTCTAGAATTCGACCTGATAAGAAAAGACATCAAATTGTAAGACAAAGGAAATGGTTTAATTTTCAATGTTATTAGTGCCATTGATTCAATACCTTGATATTCAAGGTTTTATAGCTGCAAATGACTTCCAAGTTCAAATGCCCTTCCTTATAACATGAAGCACTAAAAGGTCATTTAAGAAGACAAACATGCCATTTTCTTTTATTATGATACCATTTCCCAATGTTTATGTAATTCTGGGTATCTCATGATGGAGCTTACTGACCTTCTGAATATGGAATGCAAAAGTAATGTATCTTATGCTGGGACTTAAAGTAGTATTAAACTCTCAAAATTGTTTTCAATAATGAATGCAGATCAAACAAATATACATTGCCCAGCGAAATATTTGTTTACGATTTTGGTTCAAGCACTTACAGTTATCATGTTTCCAAAGAGGTGTCTACAGCTCTCTCAGCTCAGCTTCCCTGAACTTTCTCTCTAGTACAATATCACAAGGGACAGATCAGTCTCCAGCAGCTGATCATCTACTAGCTTGGAGAAGAGAGGAGGGGAAAGGGGAACAGGAAGCAGTGAATGTCTTGCCTTGCTGTGTCTGTGTATTTGTGGAGACACACATAGCTTACTAGCACACATAAGGGCTCCATAAGACTCTGCAAGGGAAAGGAGTCACCCTAAAACAGGATATTATGGCCAGACCTCAGGAGACCAGCTGATTCTGCATGATGCTAAAACTTTTAAAAAATCAAGTAGCAGCATCCATTTTCAGTGATTTCATCAGCATTTGAAATAGGTTAAAAAAAGTTTTACTTTAATATCACTTTAACAGATTGTGACAGATCAAAACTTTCTAGATAAGCCAATAGCAGTCAAACAGAATCTGGACAGAATAAGACAGTTGGAGTATAAAAGTTTAGTTGGTTGCTGTAGGGTGATACAGAGAGTTAGGGCCCATTCACACCATATCGTCACGCTAAATGTTCTGAACCCATGCATTTAGCACATGCTAAATCAGATTGTAAGGCAAAGGAAATGGACCTCTTAACTTACTGTACGTCATGCTGGCTGTTTTGTTTGATAGGACACTGCACCTCTATAATCTGTTCTTATCTAGTAAAACTAAGCTAAGGCTTTATCAGTTAAAATTTCCAGTATGTTAAGCTGTGCCAATATCCACATTTACACGTGATGACACAGTATCTGTGATCTGACATCCACTTAAAACAGAAAGAAACAGAAAAAGCCCACACGATTTACAATGTAAAAGATAAAGAGATCAATGTATAAGTAAAAAATGACTACTACTTACCAGATGGACCATACAATTCAACCCTGTAACTGAATTTTCCTGTCACAATGGTTGGAGCATCCCATGTCACAGAAAATGACCTAGTAGTAATGTTGCCCTTAATCAGATTCTGAGGGGGGTCTTCAGGCACTGGGAAATTACAAAATGCATTTATATATACACTATAGATCAAAAAGAACATCGTAATCAATAAAGACAAAGAAGCAAGTAATACAAATATTTCCAGGTGGCGGTTATGGTTCAGTTAAGTTAAACTTCTCTACACACAGTTTCTGTAAATATTACAGTATACCAGTTTCTTGTTTTATAATTAGCTATAAAACCTGCTTAATGCATGTAAAAATAACAAAAGTTTATACCTAGTAATTTAAATTTTAAAATTTGAATTTTTTAAATTTTAATGTACAAATACAACTAAATAAATGGTTCATAATGTAAAAATATAGTACCTGTTTAGCCTTGTTTAAGAGCTCTTTCACACCATAATGAATGTTGTAATGCATGTGCAAAGCCATGTTATAACATGTGTTACCACAATGCTCAGCAATGCACTGTAGATGTGCATTATGGTGCATTGCAATTAAAAAATGTTGCTGCCCAAGGCACATTTTCAGAGCGCAGATGCTCTATGCGTTGCACTGCCCTGTGCTGAAAACAAATCATGCATCACCTATTTTTTCATGTGTTGAAATGCATTGACAGCCAATTCATTTTGAATGGGCTGCCTAACGCAATAGGCCTGAGCACACAAAAAAAAGCAGGCTTTGCAGCACACTTCATTATGAGGTGAACAGGCCCTTAAAGTGTATTTGTAAATTTGCAGTGAAATTTGAGAAAACCCCTCAATATGTTCATTGTGTTCCTATTCAGACAGCATACTGAAAAATAACTTTTAAAACAAATTTCTTTCCTTTTGGATGTCTTGTTGAATCAGGAAAGATGGCTAATTCCGGGTTTTTCTTAAACCTTTCACAGTGGTCTGTTCGTATAGAAAGACTTGGGACTGAAATTTGAGGACTGTTTATCTGATAAGCTTTATTAACATACAATGGGCAAGCCACCTTAGACCCCTCACCCCTCACAGCCCCTCCTAGCATTTCAAAGAAATAGAAGCTAGAAGAAATGTTAACTTTAAAAACTGTAACCTAAGTAAAAGCAATTTAAACAGCAAGAAGCATTTTCTTTTTTTTGCTTATGCTATGTGAATGGGAAGATGTAACAAATATAAAATATGTGTTATCCCAATTTGGCTTGAAAGTGGAAATACACTTTAATGTTAGTAAAGTGGAAATTACACATATTTTCTTCAGCATGGTTTTACATCACCTAGTCTTACTATGTTACAGATTAGCCTGTCTTTGTACATTTTGGCAGCAGCCATATGGAAAGGTTTTCTCAAAAAACACAAGCAAATTGAAAGCAGTAACCCACACTACATTGCATTCTCAGAACTAATTTTTTAGACATTAAACTGATAACATTAAACCTGGCAGGTTAAGAGTAAATGATGAAGTAGTTGCTCACAATTTAATCTTGACAATTTGAACAAACATCAGAAGCTCTTTCCTTCTGGCACTCAAACTTGTTTTGACTTGGAGGGACTCATTCTGTTTACGCCAAAAAAGCTTTCTATATTGTGCATTGTGCTTTTAATTGATGCATGTTACTCTAGTTCTCTCCCCACACCCATACCATGCTTAAGTAGCCAATTACCGAGCACCAGCCCTATTATTTGAGAGGAAGAAGGGTGATTTACATGCTTCTCTTCCCTTTCTCTTTATTCACGGTGCCGAGCAGAGAGGCGGGAGTGTACTAGAAAGATGAATATATATTTTTTGCAGGGGATAACATTAAAGTGTATGTCCAGCCAAAACATTTTTACGTAATTTTGAACAGGTTGGGGAAGGGTTAGTTATGTTTTTTCTGCTATATGGAGTTCTCTTACAGAGATTTCCCCTCACTCCATGCATTGCTTACAGCATTTTAGTAGACAGGAAGTTAGGGGAACTCTCCAACAGCAACGAAGACAGAAAGAAAAATACTTTCCTTTATTTTACTTGCAAGGTTTTAATTTCTGTCTGTGTCCCTCTTGCAGATTTTTTCCTTACTTCCTGCCTGGTGAAATTGTTGTCATCAGGACAGGAAGTGAAGGTAAATCTCTTTGGATAACCCTGTTGTGTACTCATATCATCATATGATGCCATCAGCCTTGGTATCCGGCTTGCAAAAAGTCCTTCCCCTTTTCGCTAAGTCCCAATCTCACTGTGGCACGGCTAACGCAGAGAAAGTTGTACATCTGTTTTACACAGAATAGAAGGAAGTGTATGAACATTCCTTGCCACAAGAGAGACAAACTAAAGTTCATACCCAGGACCGCAGCTAAGGGGGGCTGGGTGGGCATATGCCCGAGTCCTGCTTTAGGAGGGGCAACTCCAGGTGTGAGGATGGAGAACTTCTCCCTTGGGGGGAGAAATTCTGGCCTTTCCCCCGGGTGACAAAATGTCTAGCTTTGCTGCTGTTTATATCCAACATATACTGTACTACCCCAAAAGCTGACAGGATATCTAGAGATCTCGCAGGGTATCACACTGGAATTGAGGAGACTGTATGTAGATTACTTCTATACTGAAGGTGCACAGCAGAATAGAGATTTTTTTCCATTCTTTACTCCTTTGTAAGGTAACATTTACCCACTGTTGGAGAAGTTCATACAGTTTATATTATTTCTTAGGCCCCTCTTACACTATCCAATCAGGAAGGGATCCATGTACAGATCTCCTCCTGATCAGAGCAGTTCAGAATGGATGCTACCACTGAGACATAAGTGTCCATCCAGTTTTTGCCTCCATTTTGCAATGGCGGAAAAAAATGAATTTTACCAGACCTATCTTAGAACGATGGAGAGACAGATGTAAGCAGACATGTGTCCGCTTACATCAGATTACCCCTGATCTGGTACAATCAGGTCTGGCGAAATGGAACACTATTTTACTTGTTTTTAGGGACCTGGACAGAGCCGAAGTAACCAGATGTAAATGGACACCCATCCATTTAGATCTACCTGCCCATAGATTCACATTGGGATCGTGAAAGCCCGTGTGAAAGGGGCCTTAATTAGTTGATTATTTTGATACTGCAGTAAACTCCCAGTTATCCAGTACCCATGGGGATTGGTAGATGCCGGATAACTGTAGTCTCTGGTTGCTTGAGAGTTACTAATAACTCTCAAGCAACACCCTGTCCACCCTGCCCCATTCATCTGCTGGCTAGATTTTGCTATTGGCTATTCCAAATTGCTATACCCGATAGAAGGCGGCTATTGCTCATGCCCATTGTGTACATTCACCTGCCAGCTGCGTAAATTAGCAGTTGGCTGCAGCAAGATGTAAACAGATAATTTAATTAGCAAATTAAAAAACTTTTAGTGTGCACATGTCTATCAAGCAACTGGCAAAAAAAAAATTGAGGACAATTTTGGTTGTTTGAGAGTTCTGGTTGCTTGAATGCTGGATAATGGGGAGTTTACTGTATTAACTTGTATTAATGTAAAAATGTGACAATATGCTGTTGTCTTATAAATTATATTTTCAGATCCAGTGTGTTATTATTTGTTATATTTAATAAAATTAAATAAAGATAATGAATTAAAAAATGCATGAACACAAAGGGATACTCTAGAAGCCTCACAACATTGTAACATTTTAAAAATTATGGTGCATGCGATTTTAAAGTAGAAGCTCAATATTGAACACCTATAAGTCTTCTAAGATAGCAAATATGACCCAGCCAGACTAAAACACAGCTAACTGATGTTTTTCATTCATGAGGACAAGTAACTGAAAGAGATACAACATTCACAAGCAAAAAGAAACCTTCTCTAAAAGACACTTCTATCTGTCCTTGCCCACATCTGTTCTTGTTGTCGTACCCTACCAGTATATCAGATTCAAGTGCTTGCAAAGCAGGTGATCAGCAGTTATAATCATCCACTAATGACAGGTTATTATTTGTGTCTCAAGTGCCTAACATTTTCAAAGTTGTATGAATATGTATGATGTCGTAGGATCCACCCTCTTATCCTCAACTAATACTGTGTATTAAAATTTAAAAAAATTCAAATAAAAAAAAATATTTCAAAGCAGCATCTTAAAGTCCACCAACTACAAATTGCAGAGACAGGAGGGTTTAATTGTTTGCATACAGAGGAAATTGCAACACCTTTAATTTGGCCATAAACCAATAAAAAAAAGTCTCACTTATAAAGGTCTTATTTTGGTGCTTCTCCTTCTTTACCCTATTGTTCTAAGAATTGACTCATTAGCAAATTATGGTAAATATTATCCTGAATATTTTCATAGTTTAGGTTATTTTACATATTCAGTTCAACACCTGCAGGTACTTTTATATCAACTCAGATAGCAAACAAGACTATATACTGTAAATATAGATGGGTTTTTTTTTTACTCACCTGATTCCGGTGTCCTGACAATTGTACTGTCAATATAGCCAGGTTCATTGGTAACAGCAGAAACTTCAAACAAGTAAGTTGTATATGGTCTAAGTTGCCCCACTATATATGTGATTGGTTCATTCCAAATAGCATTAAAGGTCCTAGAAGTTACTGCTCGTGATACAAATGAGGCAGTGGTTGTAGAAAGACCTCTGGTTGATGAAGGACTAGTTGTACGCCATAAAAAAGATTCACTTTTATCCTAAAAAGTAAAATAACAACATTTTACATTACAACAGTTTTAGTAGCTTTAATAAATTAAATTCTAAATATATTTTAACAATTATCACCTTTACATATATCATTTAGGGCCGTGGTTCTCAACTGGTGGGTTGCAACTTAAAAGTGGATCGCAACCCTGTGTTCAGTGGGTCACTGTGTGCCTTCTACTGGGCTAGGTGAGAGGCTCCTCAGTCTCCCCTTGCAGCACCATCAGTTCTCACGCTGAGCAGCTATTCAAAATATGATGCCTGGTGCAAAGTGTCAGCTTGAGGTGGAGTGGACTGGGGGTATGGCCGTGAGGGAGCTTCATCCCTACCTGCATTACTTACAACTCCCTCACGTGCCCATTCTGGCTCCTGGCACCTCTACAGGATATGCAAGGGATCTGTACAAGCAATGCACATATGAATGGAGCTCTATCACAGTACAGCAGCCCTCACTGGACTCCAGGCTGAGGATCCACTCCAGTTCTGGTAAGGTAGGGAGACTGGATAGATCTTTAAAAAAAGAAAATTGCAAATTCCCTTGTAAAGTAAACCTATTTGCCTTTACTAAATCAACCCCAAAGTTTCCACTTATGCTTTGCACATTACCAGTTGATAACAGTCCTAAGATCGGCTAAGTATTCTTTTTCTTTCAAGCATGACTGTCTCTCATTTTTAACTTAGCATAGGGAGAGTCTGCAGCTACAGATATCAGTGAAGGCTTGTTTTAAAACGTATTTACTCCTTGCTAAAAACATTTAAATATTTTCAGTAGTATTCAAATCTAATTTTTTTCCATAATGAATCCCTATATAAAAAATATACAGTACATTTCCCAGCATTCATTGTAAGTGATTTAATCAGCATCTGAAATAGCTTTAAAACATTTTGATTTTAATATCACTTTAAATGTCCACAGCTTGGCCACAGTTCCACTTTAAGTGTGCATTAAATTAGTAAAATAAAAGAAGGCTCTTACCATTATTTGTATTTGTAACTTTGTGGTAAACAAAAGGAATAAAACATCGAGCATTACTGAATATCTGTGTTCACCGTTTTACTTTATTTAGCTATCAAACTTTGACCTAAATTCCAGCCCAAAACATGATGTAATGTTTACAGAGTGGAACTTACAGTACACTCCGGCAATGCTCCATTCAAAATTTCTTCCACTTTCACAGTTGTATCCTTTACTATTGCTCCAGTTCTTGCATGTTTTACACTTATCTTGAAGCTGGTAATTTTTCCATGTGGTTGTCGAGGTAAAAACCAAGTTAGATTTACTGCAGATGAATTTAGTGCTTCAACAGTTAGATTGACAACTTTTCCTGGAGCTGTAACCAGCAAACATAACTCTCCATTAGTACTGTCAAAGTTTAAATTTGTAGTTAGAGGTTTAAGGAAAAGCAATATGATTAAAGATTACAAATATAAATACGAGTTAAGCAGGTTCTCATATCTACATAGTCTTCAAATGCACATTGGTTTAAAGAAATAATAAATCTAAACTAAGTCCTATACAACACTTCTTAGACATTTACAAATACAATAGGATTGAATACGGAGTATTATCTCCATGTCTATTGTACATAAATAATTTGTATGGTAAATGGCTTGACAGCAGTCTCAACATCTTTCTTAGATGCATAGTGCTTTCTCAACTTCTTCCTTGGGTGCCTGGAGATTTCTCAACTTTTTAATGTGCAGTAATGCCCATAAAGATCTTCTTTCGATTTGGGAAATGTCAGGAGTCGCAGGGCACCAATTCTGGATTGTATAGTAGATGCAGCAGGTTGATGAGATTCATTCCTTCATTTGGTGCTATAGTCGTGTATGAAGTGTGTGGCATTTTGCTGTCATGTTGCAAAATAACATTCCCTTTGTTCGTCTCTAATTGTGTTAAAGCTTGAAGCAAATGATCGTTACGTCCTGAGTTGATTACTTTTTGCAGGTTCCACTAAATCACTATGCATTCAGTGAAGAAGTTGAAAAAATACTATGCATCCAATGAAAAAGCTGAGAAATGTCTTTGCTTTAATGGGGAAAGTGAGAAATCACCACACATCTAGTAAATAAGCTGCCGAATCACTATGCATCCAGCAAAGTAGCTGAAACATCACTTTGAATCCAATGATAAAGTTGAGAATGGTACCAGGAATGGTTTCCAAAACAGAGTGTGGACTGTGAAAGCTTATATGTCATTGGCAAAAAATGTACACAGTTCTCTGGTGACTATGTAGAAAGTGCATAATTAAACAGCATACTTTTTTTATTTAACTTAATAAACAGAATTATTCTTGTGTTTATATATTTAAAACATTCATATTTGGTCATAAGTAATAGGCATGGAGATTGTCTATTCTACCCTTGTAAATTCAGTTCAGTACTTGCACTTTTGTATTATACTGTAATCCTTAAAGCCTAATTATATTTTATAAAATATATAGAGGTCTACTGTTTCACTGTAACTTAGTAATAGATAACCAAAGAAATGTGCTAGGGATTTTAATAGTGAGGTCTTCTAGCTAGGGCTCTCAGCAATGCCCGCCTACAACAGCCTACTCTAAGTTGGCAAGGGTGTCCATCTTCTGCATACTAATTTATAAATGTTTTGCATTTAGTACTGTCAGCATAAAATATTCATATAAATACTATCATTTCTACTGACAGTACTGTATGTACAATCATGCAATGATTGTATACAAGGATTGTCATCATTTATGGTTGCCTCCAAGTGTCAAGTGTCAGGTTAAGCTCCTCCCAATATGCCATATGATTTAAAAGGAATATGGCTTGTTGTACAATCAGCAACAGTGTTTGTGAGTATCAAATGGAACAGCCACACATTGACAAATTAGGAGCGCTCTCAGAAACCAATGACCTTATTCAAGGTGCAAGAGTCGAAATGTTAAGATGTGATATATGAGGCAACAAAGTTAAATTAAAGCAAACATTATTATTATTCCAGCATAAGGCATATAATAAATATCAGGATGTCATCCTTATCAAGAAATTTAAAATAAACTGATAAGGAAAAATAGTATCAGGTGGCAGAATATTAAATTATTGGTGTGTGATTTTAGAGTGATCATATAACAATTAGTAACTCTCAAGAGCCCTCTTGAGAGGGCAACCTGAATATGCCAGGACTAGGCAGGGGAGTCCCACGTCTGACCCTCCCCTCTAATCCAAAGGATCCCAAAAGAAGGTACAGGTTAAAGTCCAGATAAATAGGTCCTCAGTCAGCTCAATCAGTCCAAGTATGTCTGTGACCAAGCAATTAAGCATGCCATTTGCTATAGTGTGGACCTCCTCCATCTATGCTGTTTGGTTAGCCAAGATGGTCTAGGTCAGTTCTGGTGTATAAAGCTCCATTTCTAAAGAAGTCTTTTACTCTGTATGGAGTTAAATCCCTTTTGGCATGTCAGAAGAACATTGTCAGGACTCATGGGGAATCAGGATTGTTGGGTATTGGGATAAAGGGACCCAAAGTATTTGGTATTTCTCCCCAAAACAATATAGGATCAGAAGGTGTACAGTAAACGTTTGGCAGTAAGTTTATTTTTTCCTGTCCCATTGGGGGGACTGCCCTTCACTTACTGTCCTAGAGATGCAAAAGGAAGTAAGAGAAAATCTCTACAAAGTGAGAAGAATCTGCCTTTGTCGCAGTGGTCAAGGCAGACGGAAGCAACCAAATTGCAAACCAAGGTTGGAACAAAGAAGCATATACAAACGCAGTAGGCTGGCTGACACAGACAAAACAAACCTGCTGATCAGGTACTGGTTGTAAGTTCAGAGCTCCCAAAAGAGTTAATGAGACTCCAGTCTGTGGCCTTGCTACAATGCACATAGTGACCACCAGATGGTGGGGGCTCAAGACTGGTAGTTACACAATTTTAGACTATTGTCACTGCAACAAATGTCCCCATTGGAAGATTTCCCTTTGCCCCCTGTTAATGTGAAAACTATACAATGTTGGATTTTCCGTAATGTGAGTTAATTTACAGGTCTTCTCAAATATATAAATAATAATACATGACAGCCTTGGAAAACTCCTAATCATAAAAGGAAAAAATTTAGAAGATTTTTGTGATATGAGATTAGAATGCAACATTTTATCTAGTTTTACTGTATCATAATTCACATTTTAAAAGAGTTATATTTTATTGTGAATAATGTAATGTGTGACCTTTAACACAGGTGATAAAATATAGCACTATGTAGCAGAAGATTTACATATAGAATAAATTATTAAAGACATTCACATTTGAAATAGCTATGAACACTAATTTAAAAATATGATGAATTGAGACACCAAGGATTTACAGCAGTGGCTTATAGCTGAGGTCATATCTATCTATCTATCTATCTAGATAGATAGATAGATAGATAGATAGATAGATAGATAGATAGATAGATAGATAGATAGATAGATATATATATATATATATATATGCACACACTGTATATATGATGCATCTGATAGCATCTTTAACTAAAAAGCACCCTCAGTCACGAGGAGAGCTTAATTCTTAAAGCCCATCTCCAAACAAGCTTTTTTTTTTCAGTTTTGGACCGAGTGGGGAAGGCATGGAAACCGTGTCAGGTTTTTATTGCAGTCTATTTTCCAACTGAACAAATCTCCCCTCACTTCCTGTTGAACCAGAGAGTGACACAACCCGACAGGCTGCTATTTTCTATTCTAACAAAGCATATTTTTCAGTAAAATGGATTAGAACCTTCAGATTATTTTCATAAACTATTAAAGGGACCACTTTTTACATACTGGCCCACCCTTTCCCATCTGCCATCTAAAATTGGCATACTATAGCTGTAAAAAAAAAAAAAGGTTAGAAAATAGCAAAGGGACTACTTATTACATACTGGCTCACCTACCCCATCTAAAAAATGCAATTTTTTTTTTTGTTCCACCTAAGAAGATATAAGATATGGGAAGGTATAGGTTACATTGTTACATAGTTCTAGCATGTTTGGAATACACTCAAAATAATTATAGATATGTGTATTTACTTTATTAATTGTTTGTATAATGTTTATAGGAATTTATAATTGCTGCGTTTGTTTCCTCCCCATTGATATGAGGAAGTGGTGCCGGACCGATTCTAATTGTCCATATACACCAGGTGTGGCAAATAGAAGGGTGATGTACACAATGGCAGAGCAGGAGTGTGGGGGTTGGGGCCTCCCACCTTGCACTCCATAGCTGGAGGGGAGGTCGTGGAGCAGAAGCGATGGGGTGGTGATGCTGCATTCCACTTTGCACCCCAGTCACCAGATGTTAGATGTGACCCGGTCTTTCCCTTTTCCTACATGTACCTCCTGCTGTGGGGTCAGAATGGATGAGGATTGTTTCTGGAGGTTGAATGCAAGTTCCAGTGGGGGAGGAAACATCCACTGGTGGATATAAATGGATCAATGATGCACATTAGGGTTACACTGTCTTCTGAGAAAGTGGCTGATTTTGGATGAAACATGTCAAGAGCTTTTTTAGGCATAATGCCATCGCAGGACACCAACCCATTTGCAATTACTGAGATTTGAAGCACATGGTGATATGGAATATAACAGCATCCATTGGATGAAAAGCTCTGTATTTTCCACCATTTTGAATGGGTGAGATTTTTCTATACACTGCATATGTTGGAATTGCATATGCGGACATACAAACAGCTTGAGGGTATATGGTGCTTGATCAGTGACAGGCAATACATGCAACAGGAGGAGGATTGTGCATTCCTTCCATGAAACATGTTATTTTGGCAGTCCTGAATTATACAGAGAAGCAGGAACTTTCATACCCTCTTTATCTCATTTGATGTTCAGTGACAGGCAATACATGCAACAGGAAGTGGATTGTGCATGCCTCCCATGACACATGTTATCTGACCAGTCCTGAATTATACAGAAGAGTTGTAACTTTCATACCCTATTTACATCACTTGATTATTAGTGACAAGCAATACATGCAATGGGAGGAGGGTTGCACATGCATCCCAGAACAAATGTCATTTAGGCAGTCCTGAATTATAAGAAAGAGTTGAAACTTTAATATTCTGTTTATTTCATTTGGATATCTACAAAATTATATGTGCATATACATCATATTTTCTAACTATTCATGGGTATCTTTCTTCTATAGGTATTTTAGAGGTGGGCCAGTATGTAGTAAACAGAAAAACACAAGAAAGAGCGCTACTACCTGATATTGAATGGCATCTATTCATGAGAGAAGGAACAAATATATATGACTTACAGAGTATGTAGTAAGCAATTCTTGCATTTGCAAACCTTAACCTTTGCACTCTATGGTACAGTAGTACAAAACACTAAAACCAGATGAGACATAATTCAAATTGTCTCACACAATTACATTAATCAATTATATTGCTGGAGTGGGGATCCTATGGAATCACCCAGAAACATTGTAAGTACTGGCTAATGATTAATGGAGAACTATGAGGTGAGTGCTTTTCACTCACCTCATAGTTCTAGCCGACCTGTGACAATGAAACTGTCACAGGTCGGCTCAGTAGATCGGGAAGTGAGCGAACACATACCGGCGTTCGCTCACTTCTCGATCCTGTCACGGCTCTCTGCCGTGACAGGAGAGGGACTGGATTCCCGCTCCGATCCTCCAGCGCTGACTGGCGGAACGAACGGGGGAGGGGGCGGGTACAGTTGACTCTGCCTCTAGATAGGCAGAGCCAGCTGTCACTCACGCAGCTGGGCTGGTGCATACATAATTGTCGGGTTCCGCTTCAGCTGCGGAGTCTCAGTATACCGCAAGCTGTAACTCTATACTGAGCTTAGTGTGACGTGAGGACGCTAGTTTGTGTCCTCCTGTTACCCTAAGGAGAACTATGGGGAAAAGTCCTAACCCCATAGTTCTCCTTTAAATATGTTTCATCTCACTGGTTACGGGGGCTCAATAATGACACTAATTTGAATGTTATTAGCCACTTTATACCACAGAATCATTTTGTGAATGTTCCTCATAACAGTGCCTGTGATTAACATTAATGTCAAATTATAGCTTTACCTGTTCTTTAAAAGTTTCAGAAATACTGTATATTCCTTTATTTATGCCATACATGCATCCTATGTCATGAAAGTATCTAAATTTCTGTTAGTGCTTGCTTTTCTACCCAGTTTTACTGCAGACTTATTTTAAACATATTAAAGAAACTTAACAAATCTTATGTTTTATCAGTGAAGAGATTTAGCTGTCAAAGAGAATGCTAGAAAGTAGCCAAACTTAATAAATCCTCTCTGTGAAGAAAGGGAGATATGCAGCTGGATCTCATCAATCTCAGGAGACAAATCAAGCTTTGGGAATTTACTTACCACACGCTACGGATTAAACCGTACTAAATAGGAATTAATTTACAAGCTAAATTTCCTATATAGACTTGTTAAAGTCACAACAAAAATAATTATCAAACTTGATCCTTGCTGCATTTTACTGCTCACCAAGACCTCGGTGATGGGATCTCCCCTTAAAATATAAGTATAATGTGCTTTTTTTGTAAATTAGGATAGAGAACACTCATTGGCTGGTGACAAAAGTAGCTTCACCATGCTGGGATATATTTCCTGCCAGTCCTATAGAGCATATAACACCTGGTAAGGTATTAATAGTTGATGCCAGTTATACAACTTCTCCTGAATTATTCTGAGTTAATTTGCATGTAATGTAAAAAAAAATATGATTTAGGTTTGCCAAGCAACCAACTTGGAAAAAACTGAAATTATGTTCAAATGTATTTTGCACTGGTACATGCCCCAAGTGCAGTGCCAAGCTCCACATGTCCTTTATTTGACAATCTCTTGACTATTAGCCTTCAAGTGGCATTAAAGGCAGTTATTCCCCCCAATGCTGCTGTAAAGACTTACCGTATGTTATGCCTCTTGATCCGAACAGCTTCTTCCTTCCACTCATTTTTCACAGTCCCTCAACGCTGGTGCCAGTCTCCGGTCCACCGCAGACTCCTCTTTCTTCCTGTCCAGCGGAGTCTTTCCGACGTGCTTACTCCTGGCTGCGTCCATCCAGTTTCAGTGTTGCTCTCCTCCTCTACCTTCTGATGATCTGGACCGTGCATGCAACCGCCCACACTTCCTTCTTCACAGTGTTCGGGAGCTGGGACTTCTGCTGCTGGGAATGAGCAGCGCTGACACAGGCAAGTTTATTGGTGTTTGCCAACTATTTTTTTTTTAAATGTTGGGGCATATATCTACTGCCTACTAGCAGTAGATGTATGGCAAAAAAATACATTAATACTACTTTAAATATGGAGAAAATTTTATTTTCAAGATTCACCTCCCATTGACTTCAATATAGGATCACAATTTGCGTACTTTTTAAAGAGTTTGTCCAACCTCCCACAAATCAAAACCAGGCACGTTTGACTCATCACTAGTAATGACCAAAAGTTGTGAATTCAAACTTGAAAATGTGTTTTCTCCCCTAGGTTGCAGCCTTACATTTGGACAAAGTAAGTAGTCAGATAATTAGCTGCAGTTCTTTAGAGAAGTCATGGAGGAGCCTATTGGTTTGTCCATCTTATAAGTGCCCCTACTGGAGTGTCTTTAAGTCCAAGAGGCTAAAGCCAGAAGGCAGACTAAGCACCCAGGTGGGATTATATTGGCCTTGAACATCTTGGCATTTCCCAAGAACATTTTAGGGTATGGCCAAGCAAAGCAGAACCTAGTTTGGCCTTAATATAAGATTAAACCTAGTCTGGTCTAATCTTAGAATGGTTTGTGGTATTATAAGCATATCTAATGTATTGATGGTTATCCCTTATGATCAAGTTGCCATATACTATAATTATACACTAGTCAGCTGCAAACTCTTGCACGCAGAAATGTGAATGCATAAACACAAATTAAAATCTGTTGTTCTATAGTAAAGTTTATAATAGCTTACCGCTCTCTGCAGTGTTAAACAGAGAGGAATCACTGTATGATCCAATTCCAGCACTGTTTTCGGCAGCCACCTGGAATAAAGCATGAGTAAAAGTGGGCATCAAATCTCCTTAAACCCAACTGTTCTCAATTTACACAGTACATAAAACAAAATTAACTGGCAACAAATAAAACATGTTTGCATATGAAAAACAAAGGTCTTCATTAGAATTTCTCTCCCTGTCAGCATTTATTATTTCAATATTTCCTGTACCTGCCTCGCCAAATATGTATTTTCTTAAAGTAGAAAAATATATGGCCAGAATATGGACAGGCAAATATTTACATATTCTTAAGAAACAGTAAATAACTTTAAAACAAGCCCTCACTGACCTATGTAACAGCAGGCACTGCGCTATAGAGTTATTTATACTCAACGTTTATAGTAGAACATACTTTCAGTTTCATTTTAGCAGTTTAGCACATTCTACTCCCCCTTCCCAACAGTGAGTTGACAGCCTGCTAATCTACTAATCTCTTAGGTAAACATAGAACAGGTACACAGGAAGGGGGGAGTAGACACCAAAGACTAATCTTAAATACCTTTACTGCTTCTGTTATGAAATATGAGGAAGAATTACACTACAGTGCCTGCAGCTACAGATGTCAGTGAGGGCTTGTTTAAGTCTCTGTTCACACCTAGGCGTATTGTCACTCAAAGGTAGACAAGGAATCCCATTTGCTTGTCAAATACAAAGAATCCTTTTCATTTCTATGGCTCCTAGCTGTTCACACCTGAGTGTTTTGTCACAACCACAAAAACCACCTGTCACTGGAAAAAGTACATGAGCTACATTTCCCATAGATTTAAATGGTAAACACCATTGAAGTGCGCCAAAACGCGTGACAAAATGCTCCGGTGTGAACAGGGGCCTTAGAAATGAATGGGATTTCTTGTCTGCACATTGAGCGAAAAAAATGCCTAGGTGTGAACAGAGCCTTACCCCCTTAGTGTTGCACTTTCCCACTGAAAAACATGCAAAATGTCATATCTAAATTATTAACTGTTAAAATGCACATTTTAGGCCTTAAAATGACTTAAAACATTATATTTTTTCAGAAAGAAAAGAACCTATACAATATAAAAAATGGTAATTTATTTGCGCAAATATTTATTAAACATATTTTAATAAGTATTTTAATTTTCCGTAAAAAATACACTACAAGTCTGCATCAAGTAACTAAATATAAAAAAATGTCAAGCCTTAACATTGAGTTCACCTGCAAAACTGAAAAAATACAATACTCAGATAGGCAACACTTCAAAAACATTTACAGTTCATTAGTTTAGAATCAACCATAAATAATCCTATTCTTCTCAAACTGGAGTGCATGTCCAAAACCAGATATGTGCTGCCCGATTCCCGTTTACCTATGAACGTCTCGGGTGTATGTATGCATGCATATAGGGGGATCCTTGTACATTTTGGGGTATTTGTATTTATTTTATTAGACTTTTCACCTTACTTTATTATTACAAGAGGGTGTAATGTGATAGTATATTTTTTGTTACAAGTCCTCTTCATAGAAACATCAGGGCTTTAGACACCTGATGTCTCCTCTGCGCTGCCAATATTCAGAGCTCCTACCCGCCACGGAAGGGCTTAGACCTAAATTTAGGGATGCAAAGAGAAGGCACTCTCTGAATAGGCTTTTCAATACAATAGAGATAATATCAGACACCCTGCACTACACTTTACCAGATAAGAAAGAGAGATCAGAAAGGAAAAGAAAAAAGAAAAATCAGTGAAGAATGTGGATAAATAAATACTGAATATGTGTATAACAAGCATGACATGTATATAACATATGAAATGTATCTTATTTTATGATAAACACTATAATACTTGTTTTAAAAGGAATCTGTAAAGACACCCATGTGACATTTGAACCTTGAACAATCTATGTCTAGGCCAAGCATTTAGGAAGAGGCAATCAACAAGCAAGATTCAGAATTTGCAGCAAGCAAACAATTGAAATACAGAAGATAGCAAGTAAAACAGAGGTGGCAAACCATCCACTAAAGCACAAGTACCAGCAAAAGCTTTTTGCAAAGATACAGTCTAAATGTAGTGAGCATAATATATATTTGCAACCAGTTCACTTCAGAATTATTCTACAGCCTGAATATGTTTTATGATTCAAATGTCTACAAATCTAGTTAGTTGGCATGGACCTGCACCTAATATCTGTCCAAAAGAGAGAACTGCAAAGACTGTATCAGTTCAGAGCATAAGGAAGGTTATCACTGTTGAATAAAGGCAAGGCAGAGCTTCCTTATAAATATTTATTTCCTATGCTTATCTGGTCCATCTAATGGCCCTAAAGTATCATTACAACACAATGCATTTGAACTAGGAAAAAATATATTAAGAACATTCGTTATTGGCAATATGCACCTAAAACAACGTTCACAGACCCTGCGAATTGTTCAAAGATAGACCCCCAATGTGTGCTATTCTTAGCAGAAAAAAATAAAACAAAGAAAACACAGCTATGCATTTTGTCCATTTTCCAAAATACTGGCAGTATTCTGCCATCAAGATAAACATCAAATACAGAAACATGAAGTGGCCACCAAGCAGAAAACATATTTTTATTGTTCTGACTAATCTAAATGGATGATATATGGAGAAGTCTTAATGGATAATCTCTGTTAAAGGTACATCAGTTTGCCCTATTAACTATTATTATCTTGCAATGAGAAAAACGTAATTCAACTCTATTAAAATTACCTTTTTAAATTCCACAATTTAAGTGCACCCAAGATACACGGAGAAGAATGATTAAGTGAACTCACTTATACTCATTGGGTATAAAAAACACACTGAAAGCAGTTATCCAAACCTTTATCACCATGTGGTATTACTGAGGTCTTTTCGGAGAAGCCGAGTGAAACTCTGCTTAAAGCAGAACTCCAGCCAAAAACAAGATAAAAATGAATAGGTAATTAAAAGATAAAATAACTAAACCAGCTTTTTGTGTAATATTCACCTTTAATCCATAGATTTCCCACATAATTTTTTCTGCTGCTAGATTTTCTTAGTCTGATGGCCAGCATCATTCAACCCACTTCCTCTGAACCCAGGTTGTCCTGGATCCAGAGATTATCACTCTGTCACCATGCCTTCTCCTCTTATCCACATGCCCCTTATCCTGCTTTTTTCCTTGTTCTGCTTCTCACACTCCAGCCCTGCTGTACAGGGGCTGCAAGAAGCTGGAACCAGGTCAAATATAGGAAATGACACTGCTTGAATTTAAAATATGCACTTATTTATGTATTCATGATTATAGAGTTGCATTCATTTGTGTCTTTTATATCTGTCTAGAGTTCAGTTTTTAAGTCTGCAGGAAGGCTGGTATTCAGATATAAGAAGATGTAAATATCAATATCTACACCTGAGGGTTGACATTACATAGTATGGTGCCAGGACTTGTGGAGCCCCCTTGCATTCATGAACACAGTAATATTAACAAAGTACTGGAGGAAGCAAAACAAAGGATGAAATATAGAGAATTGTTGCCTATAGTAACCAATTGGCTTTCAAGTGTCATTTCTACAGTTCAGTATTTGAAAATAAAAGATTTTGGCTGTTTTTTTAGCAGAACCTCCCTGTTTTTTGGTTAGTTGCTTTAACCACTTGCTGCCCTGAGCAATTTCTTACATTTGCGCACACATGATAAAATCTGAAATATTGGTCTAGAAAACAGCTTCGGACCCCCAAACAATTATATATTTTCTGAAAGCAGAGGCCCTGTAGAATAAAAAGATGCTAGTTTATGTTGCACGGTATTTGTGCAAATGTTTATCAAACAAGTATTTTTAGGATAAACCAACTACTATTGTTGCTGAAACACAAAAAAATGTAGACTTAAAAAGGACTGTTGGGTCTCTGAACAGTTGCACCACAGGCCAATCTGTACAGTTGACGACTTTAGCTTTAGATTTTTTTAAATGTTAACTTTCCTATAGTGCCTAAATCTGTTGTCAGTGCACGACTATTACTGCTTGATAAAAAAATAATCAGGTGCCACAGCCAAAACTACGCAAATCTTTTTTCGAAAATGAAATAGATTGATTGGGGTGCTGCTGCTGTATTTACAAAAATGTATACAAATCCAAAATATGTGATGCTTTAATATGAAGTTGCCGACACTCTCCGTGAAGATCGTACTGTTCTGTAACACCACATACAGCTTAAAGGACACACAAAGTTGCATTAAAAGAACCCTCCCTCCACTGTACAGTATTTATTTATGTTTTGCTTTACTAAATGCCCTCATGGCAGTGCCCAGCTCCCCATGTTCTTTTTGTACAATAGTTTGGCCAGAATTAAGTATAAAAATTAACTCTATAGATTTTAATTTGATTTACTGTTAAAAATTTCAAACAGGATTCAATTAAGCCCTCATAAATCAAACCCAGGCAGATTTGGCCACACCATTTTCACTGGATACTATTCTAGAAGTTTCATGAAGAATAAATACTATTACCAAACAGCATAGTCGTTTTTTATGTATTGCCCTTTTTAAAATCTTTAGACTGCGGATAAGAGGAACACAATTTGTTAAAAAGCTGCTACTTCAAGCTGCATTTATTGCCTTTACTTTATTTCAATTAAACTATATCTAAACCTATGGACAAAAATGCAATATGTTGTAGCTTACCGGTCCTTAGATGTAGTGGTTGAATGTGTTTGTATTTTTGAAGCTAAGTAAATTTTCTGCAAGTACAGAAAAATATCTGTCCTTTTAGTTTCATGTGCACAGAAGCAACATCTTAAACAATGTTATCAGCCTTCCAAGTTCTTTTCAGAGAACACATCTCCCCTATGTTCAGGACATGAGGAGAGGGGGAGGTGTTTGCTATCCAAGTTAGAATAGAATCCTAGGGTGACAACTCCATAGATACTGTTTAGTGAGTCAGTGAGTACTGTCACCCTAGGACTGGAAGTGTGTTACTGAGGATAGCATAGTAAAAAATAAAAGAAAGACAGCCCGAAAAAACAAATGCAGCCACAACATCTAAGGA